TATGCTGCCAGGCCTATGCCATCCTCATAACGGCTGCTACTGTGCCAACACATCTCATAGAGGTCTTCTTTTCTCAACCAAGTGTGATACCCTTCTCCAGGAACTTTCTCCCGGGACTTGCCCTCCTGATAACATGTCTGAAGTATGAGAGATGAAGTCTCACTATCCTGGAATCTGATGAGTATTTTGGTTGTACTTCTTCCGACACAGATTTGTTTGTTCTGGCAGTTCATGGTACTTCCAATATACTTCTCCAACACCATAGCTCATAAGGTCTTCCGTACTTATTGTGCAACTTTCACATGCATAGGAGGCTTATGATTTGGGTCAGGAGCACCTTTGTTTCAAACTTGTATTATTTCTCTTGAACACCTTAAAGTATTTTTCGTTTTATGTGTTTTTTTTTTAATTACTGCAAAGCCGTTTGAACTGCAAGGTCGGCGGTTCAAACTCACCACCTGCTCTTTGGAAACCCTATACAGGGTTGTTACGGGTCGGAACCGACTCAATGGCACTTCACAACAACAATATAGATTTGCCTAATGCAATATGTTGCTTGATTTCTTGACTGCTGCTTCCATGAGTATTGATAATGCATCCAAGCAAAATGAAGTAAGTCTTTGATAACTTCAATCTTATCTTCATTTATCATGATGTTATTTATTAGGACAATTGTGAGAATTTTTGCTTTCTTTACATTGAATTTCAATCCGTATTAAAGGTTGCAATTTTTGATTTTCATCAGTAAGCATTTTAAGTCCTATTCACTTCCAGTAAGCAAGATGGTATAATCTGCATATCAAAGGTTATTAATGAGTCTTCATCCAAACCTGATACCACATTCTTCTTAATATAATATTGTTGTTGTTGTTGTTTTGTGCTGTGGAGTCGGTTCAGACTCACAATTGTCACAGTTTCCGCTGCTGTAAATCTTTACGGGAGTGGACCGCCACATCTTTCTCCCGTGGAACCGCTGGTAGTTTCGAACTGCTGACCTTGCGGCTTGCAGCCCGATTCGTAACCACTATGCTACCAGAGCTCCTTTAATATAATATAAGGTCTCATGTTATTTGCTCAGCATACAGATTGAATAAGTATGGTGAAAGAATATAACCATGGTGCACACATTTCCTGATTTTAAACTATTCTGTATCCTTGTTCTGTTTGAATGACTATCTCTTCTTTTGTGTGCAGGTTCTTCATGAACACAATTAAGTGCTCTGTAAACCCCATTCTTCAAAATGCTGTTCATAGCATGTCATTATTCACACAAATAAAGTCTTCCATAATCAGTAAAGCTCAAGTAAATATATTTCTGATATTCTATGCTTTCAGTCAAGATCTTTCAGACATCAGCAATGATATCCCTAATTTCATGTCCTCTGAATCCGGCTTGAATTTCTGGCTGTTCTCTGTTGATGTACTATTGCAGCTGTTTTTGAATTATCTTCAGAAAAGTTTTACTTGCATGTGACATTAATGATATTGTTCTATAATTTCCATATTCATTGGGTCGCCTCTCTTTGAAATGAGTACAAATGTGAATCTCTTCTAATCGATTTTCTAAACATGTCTTTAAAATATCTTGTCATAAATGAGTGAGAACCTTCATTGCTGTATCAGTTTGTTGAAAGATTTCAATTTGTGTTCCATCAATTCCTGGAGAATTGTTTTTCATCCATGCCTTCAGTGAAACTTGAAGTGCCATCAGTTCTTTATTGTATGATTCCTCTGAAATGGTTGAATATTCACCATTTATTTTTCATACAGTGACTCTGTGTATACCTCCCATCTTCTTTGGATGCTTTCCACATTATTCACTATTTTGCCCAAAGATTCCTTCAATATTGCAACCCTAGGCTTGAGTTCTTTAATTCTGACAGCTTACAAAATGCTGACCATGTTCTTCCCTTTTGGATTTTTAGTTCCTGGTCTTTCCACATTTCATTCCAAAACTTTGAGTTGTTTACTTGAACTATCTGCTTTGGAATATTCTACTCAGCTCTTTTACTTCTCCATTTCATTTGCTTTAGCATCTCTACATTAGCATCTCTACACAAGGTTTAGAGTTTCTTTTGACATCCATTTTGGTCTTTTATTTCTTTCCTGTCTGTTTAATGAGCTTTTGCTTTCTTCCTGTATGACATTCTTGATGTCACCTCACAACTCTTTTTGTCTTCAGTCATTAGTATCTAATATATCAAATCTGTTCTTGAGATGATCTCTAATTTCAGGATGGATATGTCCAAGGTCATATTTTGTCTCTCATGGACTTGTTTTAAATTTTGTTTTACCTTCAGCCTGAACTTCCATATGAGTGGTGGTGGTGCTGGTGGTGGTTATGTGCCATGGAGTCGGAACCGACTCATAGCGACCCTGTACATGGTTCCTGAGGTTTCACAGTCTCGCCCTGGCCTTGTTTTAGTTGATAATATTGAGCTTTACCACTGTCTCTTCCCACATATGTTGTCATTTTGATTCCTGTGCATTCGATTTGGTGAGGTCAATGTGTATAGTTGTCTTTCAGGATTTTTAAAAAAGTATTTGCAATGAATATGTAATCGGTCTTAGACAATTCTATCATGCAGTGTCCAGCATCATAACTATCACCAATGCCTTATTTCCCATCTACTGATCCTTCTTCTTTGTTTCTAACCTTTGGAGTCTCATCATCAGTAATTATAAATACATCTTGATTGTATGTATGATCGATTTCAGATTGAAGGATTTGGTAGAATTCTTCAATTCCATCATCACTGGCTGCATAAATTTGAATAATAGTGGCATCAACTGGTTTTCCTTTTAGGCGTATGGATATGATCCTATTACAGACAGCACTGTATTTCAAGATATATATCTTAGCATGCTCTTTTTGGTGACGTATGTGGTACCATAACTCTTCTATTTTTTTCAGGCTAGTACATCATATGATTGTCAGATTCAAAATTGTAAATAGCAATCCATTTCAGCTCACTAATGCCTATGATATCGATATTTTTGTGTTCCATTTCATTTTTTACAACTCCAGTTTTCCTAGATTCATACTTCATACATCTATGTTCTGATAATTAATGATGTTTTCAGCTGTTTATCCTCATTTTGAGATGTGCCCCATCAGCAAATAAATGTTTCAAAGTCTTCACCTCATTCATGTCATCATGCTTTATGCTATTTTGATGAGGCTGCTCTTCCCCATTCGTTTTGACTGCATTCCCACCAGAGGGACTCATATTCTAGCACTATATCTGATAATATCCTGGTGACATTCATAATTTTTTAATCTTTTCACATTATATCTGACAACGTCCTGCTATTGTCCATTAGATTTTCAATGGTTAGACATTCAGAAGCAGCCTGCTTCTCCCTATTCATAGTCTATCTTAGCCTGGAAGTTCCACTGTAATCTTCTCAGCATTGGTGACCCTTCTGCTATTTAAAATACTGGTGAGAGAGCATCCAGCATCATAGCAATATGCAAGCCGCCACATAATGACAAAATGACAGGCGAGTGCTGGTGTTTCCATGTGGTTGTGTCCAATAAAGACATTAAGATGTAATTCACACACTAGAATGCAGTCAGTATGCTAGCTGAAAATGTGATATTTACTAATAAAAACTTGAATATTCTATTGCATTATCTAATACAATCACTTTTTTTGATAAAATGCATTTTGAATGTTGTTGTTAAGTGTCACTGAGTCTTTTCCAACTCATAGTGATTGTATGCACAACAGAAAGAAACATTGTATGGTCCTGCATCATCCTCTCAATTATTGTGGTTGTGTTTGATCCCATTGCTGTTGCTACTGTGCCAATTCATCTCTTTGGGACTATTCCTCTTGATTACTTTACCAAATATGATGTCCTCCTCCAGAACTGGTTCCTCCTGATAACATGTCTAAAGTTTGAGAGACAAAGATTCATCAACCTGGAGTTTAAGGAGCATTTTGGCTATGCTTCTTCCAACACATATTTGTTTGTTCTTCTGGAAATTCATTGTAGTGTCAGTATACTTCTATGACACCAAAACTCAAATGCATCAATTTTTCTGTGGTCATCCTTATTCATTGTCCAACTTTCACATGTATAAGAGACTATAGAAAATGTCATAATTTAGGTCATGTGCCCATTAGTTCTCAAACTGATATCTTTATTTTTAAACACTTTAAAGATGTGTTTTTGCAGCAGATTTTCTAGCTTTCTTGACTGCTTGATTTCTTGACTGCTACTTCATGATTGTTGATTGTGAATCCAAGCAAAATGAATTCTTTGACTTTAATCTTTTCTCCATTTATCATGATATTATTTATTGTTCCAGTTGTAAGGGTTTTTGTTTTCTTTATATTGAGTCTTTGATCTTTATCAGTAAGTATTTTAAGTCCTCTTCACTTCCAGCTAGCAAGATTGTACCATCTGCATATTACAGCTTGTTAATGAGTCATCTTCTAATCTTAATACTGTGTTCTTCTTCATATGATCCCATTCCTCAGATTATTTTTTCAGCATAAAGATTGAATAAGTATAGTGAAAAGTAACAACCCTTTTGCACCCATTTTCTGATTTAAAACCATTTAGTATCCCTTTCATTTGTTCCAAAGACAGCCTCTTGGTCTATATACAAGTTCCTCATTAGCACAATTAAGTGTTCTGTAATACCCATTCTTTACAATGTTATCTATCATGATCCACACAGCCAAAAGTCTTTGCATAGTCAATAAAGGACAAGAAAACATTAAGAAGTAATCTGATTTTCCTTCCTCATCTGTTTAGTCTGGAAAGTCTGCTAAAATCTGACCACCATGAGTGACTTTACTGGGATTTAAAATATGGTGGAATAACTTTCAGCATCATAGAAACACACAAGGCACCAGAGTATAATGCACTGACAGATGAGTGGTGGGTATTTTTTAAAGTGTTTAGTTGTTCAAAGAGGAAGTGATAGGATAGAAGAGGTAGAGAACTGTGAAATGGAATGAATTATATATTATTTTTCTCTTCAGGGAGGACCTGGTTCTTCTGGGGCCAAAGGTGAGAGTGGTGATCCAGGCCCACAGGTAAAAAATACTGTTTGCTTATTTCACATATTATGTTTTTTCAATATTTTTTTAGTATGGTGTTACATATACCTGTTATTGTTCAATAAAGAAATAAATTACTTACATCACCTATAAACTCATGTCATTTATTTTTATTGAAGAGTTCTTAGTGCTCATGACTAATTAATGAAATGACTAACAAGAATTTAAAAAAAAGCGTTTTGTAGATTAAAGAAGCATCTACTAGTCAGTGTGCTAAATTGTAGGGATACTAAATTGTAGGAATACAATTTTGAAATAGGTAAACTCTGATCAAGATCTCAGAAGTAAACAATATGTTGAGGGATTCAAGCATGGGAATAAACATTTGCAAGCTAAAACTAAGTGCAAGCAAAGAAGCCATATCTAGGAAAGGACATCCAAAAGATAAAGGAGAAAATGGTTGGAAAGAGGAGAGGACTATGAGTGATTAAGAGCTTTCAATTAAAGGAAATATAAAGTTCCCGGGTCTTGATAATAAAATGATTAATTAAAGATTTTTTTTTTTTTCACATTTAAAAAGTCACTTTTTATTTTTTAAATGTGTTTATGTGTCTACTTATAAACTTAACAAAATAATAGGTGTTTTTGTTTTGTTTCTTTGCAATAAACCATTTAAAAAATTGATTTTCTTATCTTCTGCTTTATCTGAGTTTTTATACAAGACATAATTTTCATATTTACATGTACCTGAAATCAAAGATAAAGCTAAGAGGAACTCAGTTTCTAAAACTGTCTTTATTTTTGTAATAGAGCTCATTTATTAAAAATTCTATGCAATGAACTAATTATGGCATTTTTACATAGGGCCCTAGAGGTGTCCAAGGCCCCCCTGGTCCAACAGGAAAAGCAGGGAAAAGGGTATGCCTGACTTTCACTGTGTATTTTAGGAGCATATTAATGGATCCTTTGTCTTGCTTTCTTTTGTTTGGGCCTAGTAGAACTTTCTATTGCTTTAATCATATTCTTGTCATTACCAGGGTCGCCCAGGTGCTGATGGAGGAAGAGGAATGCCAGGAGAACCTGGGGCAAAGGTCAGGTGCTTTTCCATTTGTACATTCACATCTTGATTGTCATTTTAACCCTAAAAATTTTATATTTTGCAATACAGTTTCTTGATAGGCAAGACTATCTCACATTCAAATTTTAATACAGATCTAGTTTGGAAATGCAGATGATGATGATGATGATGATGATGATGATGATGATTTTACAGGGAGATCGAGGATTCGATGGACTTCCTGGTCTTCCAGGTGACAAAGGTCACAGGGTAAGATATATCATTCTATTACTTTTAATGAATGGATTAAGGAAGTCAAATGATGAAATCTAATAAGTCTTTATAAATCCATGTAGAAAATGATTGCGTCCAATAGATTTTTTAAGTTAGTTAGGTAAAATCAATTATGCGACATAAGTTTAAGTTATCTAAATGTTTTCAGCATTAAAATATTCATTGTGTGCAAACATAAATTAAAATGGAAATTTTATGTATGAGGGATGACAGAAAGTTCATGGGAAAATGTAAATAAAAGATGGGATTTTTCTGGTAAGGTTTTGAAGCCTTTCATAATTGAAAAAAAAAATCACATTAATGGAAAAGCAAATATTGGATATTTGATATTTTCTCTTATTTTTTTCCCAATTGCCTCCATTTTACTCATATATTATTTGCATGTACTTAAAAGAAGACCTGTGTTGGCAGTCTATCATTAATATAATACTACTATAGACCCTGTATTTTATTATACTAAATTAGATGATTCAGAAAATGATAAACACCACAAATTATCATATAATGTTCTGAGCTTTCAATCTGATGCAAGAGTTTGTAGTTTCTAAAACTAAGTAAACAACCATGCTGAATAGAAATTCTACTAGATAATTTTAGTGGGAAGTTAAGTAAAAAATAATCAGCTTTTTATCACTGCATTTAGGAATGCAGATATGACAGGAGAGGGAAAAAAAAAAAAAGGCCAAGAGAAAAGTGAACTCTGAATGTGTAGCAAAATTTAGTGTGTGCCTAGCATATATAAAGTTAAATGCATAATTTTACATTTTAAGATATGAAGCATCATTTATTCCTCTAAAGTTATGCTCTACTAATACAAACTATTACAGAAGCAGAAGAAAAAATGAAATTATATGAAAATCAGCAAAGTATACCCATGTTTGAAAACTGCATTTAAACTCAATAATTCCTTAAATAGTTTAGATCTGAATGATTCATTGCCTGAGTATCATTTTAGGTATTTTATTTATCCTCATTTTGTATTTAAATTATAGGAACTTATTTTTCTAGCATACTTATATATAAATCCTGTTAACATTATAGAACTGTGATTTATCTATGACGGGATCTGAGAAAGGCAAATAAAGCATGTATTTTCTCTCCAAATACTTTGTCATATTTGGTTAGAATGACTACCACATAAGCTTTTAAGTGTTCTGTTTAATATCATCTTCTAATCATAGTTTTATTTATTTTACAGGGTGAACGAGGTCCTCAAGGTCCTCCTGGTGCTCCTGGAGAAGATGGAATGAGGGTATTTTCAATGTTTAAAAATAAACATAAGAGAACTAGTCATGTGGAAATGCATTGTCTAACTGCATTACCCTCACATTCATCTTGTCAATGACAGGGAGAAGATGGAGAAATAGGACCAAGGGGTCTCCCCGGTGAAGCTGTAAGTAACTTTGTTTTTCTTTTTAAAGTTGCCTGTTTTTGAGCAATAGTGCTTGGTGTTATACATATGAAGGAAGTAATATTTACTCAGAAAAATATTAGCTAAGGTCTTCCCTGAGGTAACCAAGTAATTTTCATTTCAAAAAGCAAATCACTCTTTTTTGTTACTGCTGTCTATAAAATCTTTAGACAATTGAAAGAACAAAATGTAACCTATAACATTTTGCCACCTACAAAACTTTCCTAGTTTTTAATTTTTCTTTTCTAAAAAAAAAAATCAGTAGTTTCAGAATGAATTGCTTAGGCTAACTAAATTGTGTTGCTAGGGATAAAAATAGTAATGAGAATAGTTATTACATAATAGGTAGGACACGATATAGTAGATTATATAATTTTCCCCACCACATTTTATAAATGCTAGTTTTAAAGCAAATGACTACAAGGACATCTCCTAATCTCAATCCTATTTTATTATATTACAAAGTCTGTCCAGTCAATGGTTCAAGCAAATAGGAGAGACAGCAAATTGTTACGTTGACTGTTCTGCAGAAGAAAAAAGTAGTAGATGGAGGATTGAGAGAAAGATAAGAAGGAGAAATGGTCTCAGTTAAAAAATAGTAACAATAGAAATACTTACCCCAAAGAAATGATTTCCAGAGTCTGCACAAACTGTTTGTTTCTTTGCTTCAGTGAATGAATACATTTTTCTCAAGATGAAATTTATCTAAATGCAAAATAAATGAAAATCAGGGCCCTTATATTTGTATAGTTTTATCTGATTGAATAATAAAGCTCAATGTTGGCATTCAAATTAGAAAATGATGTAAAAGTGATTTATGTAAAATGTTAAACTATTTTCTTCTTTTAACAATTTTCCAAGTTTGTTTTTCAATTTATGGAATCATATGTAAACAGTTTCTATATTAAAAACTCATTGTTATCCATTTTGACATTTAGATTGGTATAAACATGGTATTTATGTTAGATATAAAGGATATGTTAAACACCACTTTTGGTGCATTAAGAAATGTACAAATATTTCTACTCTAGACATTTCATTAGATTATATTCAGAGAAAAAAGTAGGTTTGGAAGTTATTTTCTCATGAGGACATACTTTTTCTGTTTTTTTCTTCTAGGGTCCACGAGGATTGTTGGGACCCAGGGGTACCCCAGGACCAACAGGGCATCCTGTATGTACTGTTGGAAATATTTAGAATTTTCAAAGGAAAATATGCTAACAGAGTATATAAATCTTGGAGGCTAAGAAAGTTTCGGTAGACTGCCAAATGTTTATGAGCTTGTTATGTTCTAAGATCTAATGATGCTTGATACTGATGCTGCCTATCAGCTTTAGCGATCTTTCCTCAACCCTGTCTTCTTTCTTTTTACCTCCCTGTTGGTTTATGTATATTGTTTTCATGAGAAATTCCCATTACTCAGTGGAACATGCTACAGCATTGAATTGGGATAACATAGGTGTTATCTTTTTTCTCTGTTCCAATAAATCCCAAAATGAGTTTAAATCATCCTAGCCGGTAGGTAGCATGCTATTCAGTTAGACTTTTTATATTTTACTAAAACATCTGAATGGATTTATATATATTTTTGTTTCTTTATTAAAGGGCATTGCAGGTATAGATGGTCCCCAAGGCCCAAAAGGGAATATGGTATGTAAAAAAACCCCGAACAGAGTAACTCTTCTCTGCAATCTGAGCTATAAAAAACATTTTTGTTGCTAAATCTAAAATAAAGATTTTGTAGAAAACTTTATTAATTATTTTCTGTTAACATTAATAATTCATGAATGAGAGTTTTCTAGATTCTCTAGAGGGAACATGTTTGGGGGCTATTTTTTCAATTCAGAAGAAAAAACACCTCTTATACAAAACAGGTCCATTAAAGGCTCTTTATATTTTCCTATGGCAGGGTCCCCAAGGAGAACCTGGTCCACCAGGTCAGCAGGGAAATCCAGGACCTCAAGTAAGTCTAAGCCACTGCTCCTCCTTAGAGAGAATAGGGTAAGAGGGTATCTTTGTACAAGAAAATTGACAGCCTTAGCATTTTTTATAGGTCTAAAAAATGTTTAAAATGTGATTGTAGGAAAATCTTTTTCTTTGTCTTTTTTTTTAATATAAGCAAATTTGCAGTGGCCCCTTTCTTCCAAGAGAAAAATGAGTCATTCTATGTTCATGGGATGCCAGCAGGAACAGCCACACCTGTAGGAGGGTTCTGAATAGGATCACATTGCAGTCCCATTGCCAAAAGAGTAGCTTGTGCAAAACTTCTCACGGTGTTGCAGTATTCCAAACTCTTTGGGGGGATAAGGGGAAGAAATTTATATCCTCATAATTCATTTCATGTGAAACAGAGGTCTAATAATTTTCTATTTAAGAGCATATTCTTGTGATGTGAGTCCTAACCTGTGAAATAAATTCTTTTAAAATAGGGTCTTCCTGGTCCACAAGGCCCAATTGGTCCTCCTGGTGAAAAAGTAAGTTACTCTCTTTTTCATACAAAATCTGATGATCAAATTTGGGTTAACAAGTGTAGGCAGGGGTAAGGCTTGCCTTCTGTTTTGATAAGATATCTACATGGCTCAGCACATAAGGAATTAATCTTGAGTTAAACCCTGAGAGTATAATGTGAAGATAATTCATTCTTGCATCTCAGAATTGTGAATGATGAAAGTTTGCAGAGCTTCCATTCGGTCAGCTTCCAAATGTGACATTCTCTGCTATATTAATTTCAGAAATATGCTTGAATGAGTGAATGTTTCTCTTTATTTTATTCTCCTTTTCTTTCTCATTATTAAACAAAAACAAAAAAATGTAATTAGGTTTGCTTATGACAAAGGATTTTTAGCAACATCTGATTAGGGGAAAATTGTGAAGTTGTCATTACCACCATTGCTCATGTATAAATGGCAAACAATGTTCTTGTTAATAACTCAATGTCTGGATCAAAACAAGAATAAATCTTTAATTAAAGAGATGTCTTTTTCCCTGATCTCCGCTGCCAGATTCTCCAAGTAATATTTCTTGTCGTTGTAGTTAGGATGCTATTGTTAGATGATTCTTTCTAACACCTTTTTTTTTTCTCTCCTATTCTTGCTGATTTTTTTTAATGTGTGATGATTTTCATTAATAGCTTTAGTTAGACATAATTTGAATACCATGAAATTTCAGTTGATGTGTACAGCTCAGTAATTTTTAGCACATTTATGATGCTATAGAACCTTCACCGCAATCTAATTTTAGAACATTTACAGCACCCTGGGAAAGAAACGTCATTTCAATTTATAGTCACTCCCTCCTTTCACCGCCCCCAGACATAGAGACAACCATTTATCATGTTCTGTCTTTATAGATTTGCCTTTTATTTGTTATGAATAGAATGATACAGTATATAGCTTTTTTGGTCTGGCTTCTTTCCATTTGGCATAATGTTTTTGAGGTTTATTTGAGGTTCTAACATGGTGTGGTGCTATACATAAGCACTGGACAGTGAGGTTGGTTTGCACCACAAAATAGGCAATTCAAACTCACTTGCCGCTCCTCAGAAACCCTATGCAGCATCGCTGTAAGTCGGAACTGACTCAAAACTACTTAACAACAATACGATATAGCAGTACTTTGCTCCTTCTTATTGCTGAATAATATTCCAGTGATTGGATAGGCTACATTTTATCTTCCTATCCTCCAGTTGATAGACATTGAGGTGTAAGAGCTGAACATACCAAATTTAAGTGGTCTTCATTTTTTCTGTATGGCTGCCTTTATGGGAATACTATTTTTAAATGGCCCATGTATTTAAGATGTTAAGGCCCAAAGGTAAATTTCAAACTTTACTTTAGAAAGAGATTCTAATCTAGGCCACACATTACATTTTGGTTTGTCCTGTCAAAAACATACAATATTTACTATAGATTGGAGATAGGCAACCATAAAATTTCTACTAAGAGGAATGTGTTCTTAAAATAAATGGGCATACATCAGCTCCCTTTGTTGAAGCAAAGGTAAAACACAACATCTAGTTCATTTCATTTCTTGGACTAAGATCTGAACTATTTTAAGTACATACTGTTCTTTCTCACCATGAACATTTTACATACCCAAAGACAATCTTTTTCAACCAAAACTAGAAAGAACTCAAGATATCTGTTTAATTTGATAAAATCAAACATTATTTTATATTGCATCATCCACTCTATTTATATTGCATCAATTACTTTTCTTATATATACTGTGATTTCTTTATCCTTGATCAACAGCTTTATCTCCAAAACCTTACTAAATAATAAATTTCAGTTGGATAATACTGCTACCAACACTTTGTTGTTGTTGTTGTCAGGTGCCATTGAGTC